GAAGAGTGCTATATCAAATATACAGATGTAATGTCTGCTTGGGCTTGGATACAAAAAATCAGCAATGCATCATGGGTGCCTGAAAACACCATCAAAAGTTATACTAACTTTATTTTTGCAAACTCCAGTTTGATAAATTGCAGTGAAAGAAAATCAAGACAAGTCAATATTAAATGTTGTCTATTAATCATCAGCAAATCCGTTAAGTCTGACTGACATATAACAACATTATCAATTAAATTAAGATATCGACTGGAACAAATTGGGCGCTGTTGTCTTTTGAAGTGTCTAGTAACAGAAACTTTAATGAAACTGTTAATGTAAGAGGCAAAGCTTAATCAAAATGGCATTAAGCTAATGATACTAAACTTCAATTAAAGTGTAATTAATAGCTGCAACTTTAATTATAATTGGGTTGAGGGAAAGATTTGTTTGTTTCATCCCAAATACAAAGATAAGTGTTATTCGATTGGAGGTAATGTGTTTTACTTTTGATAACTGATATCAAGAAAATAAAGAGACAAAATAAATTGCTGAGTTCCCCAAAAAAGCTTCAATTTAGAACGACACATGAACCATTAGAAATGGCCCTGAGTGAAGAGGTTGGGTTGTTATTTCATCGCTTTTATTGTTTACACAATTACGGATGTGATACAGAACAGACTGGTCTTTGAACAGGGTTAATATTAATAATAACCAAATAACGCTAATGCTTGTATTTTATAGAGCTCCTTTCATGTCAGGAGGATATCTCAAAGTGCGTCACAGAATTCATTGTAAAATGCATTGACTATGTATTTTGTAGGTGAACCAATTTGAGTATAGCAATGTCTTGTAAGCAGCAATGAGGTGAATGACCAATTGTAACTGGGGGATTTGCTGGCTGGGATACCTTTATTTTACTCCCTTCTATTTTTGACTTTTGACACAGGTTCTGAACAGGAAGACAAGATCGTCTGAACATCCGGGTTTGGGTTTTAAGCGAGCAGAGATGACTGCTGTACCAGGGGGAGCTGGTGGGTTTGGAAACAACCCTGGATTTCAGTGGAGTTAGGGAATTAAAGGTTGTGGAGAGACGATCATTCAGCAGCTTGACAGCTGCATCAGGATGGCTGCAGGTGTAGGGCCAGAGGGAGAGGAGGTTCGAGGAAGAGAGGGCATTTGTGAGGGACTCAGGGGAAACTTTTTCTAGGGACGGAAAAGATGGTGGAGGGTTTGGAAGAGGGGTGGGGAATGTGGGAGGAGAGGGAGATGAAGAAGTGGTCCGAGATGGCCTTGTCCGTGATGGACAGGTCGGAAATACCAAGGCCATGTGTGATGACGAGTTTGAGGGGGTGGCCACGGTTGTGGGTTGGTCAGTTGTTGTGGAGGGTGAGGTTTAAGGAGGAGAGGAGGGCAGTGAAATCCGAGGATTTTAGCTGGAGGTTGAAATCACAATTACCCCAGATTGCCACAAGAGGATCAGGAAGTCACTGTGCAAAGAGCTGCCAGGTGGGACACGTTACTGATGCACCACCCCATTATCAGCATAGTTGAAGTTTGAAACACAGGGGTGAAATTTGCAGTTTCATAACCTTGTGACGATTATCACAATGAGCATAATATGAAACGCCACAAATTTTCACCTCACAAATATCAAGTGACTCTGTTTGTTAAGCAAGTATCCCAGGATCAGGCACTGAATAGCCAAGATCAGTCCTTCTGGGGTTCTAGGGATAAGAATAATGAGTAAGATTACCCAGTTATCATTGTGGTCCCTCGAAGTAGGACTGACAATTGAGTGGCACTTAAGATCTACCTGATAGCATTGGAAGCAGACCACTTTCAATTGGTCTATTCAGGAGAGATATGAATGCAAATCCTACAAGATAAAGAAATATGCTTTTACATTTTTTTTCGTAAAAGGACTATAAAATGCCCTCCAATCTGCAGTTGATATTTTTATAATATAATAAACCTTGCATTTGACATAGCGCTTTTCACATCTTTTATTACCAAAGCACAGCTCCGCAACATTGCCAGACTTGCCACTTCCTCACCCCTCAGGCTGCCAAAACCCTCACTCACACATTTGTCACCTCAACAACAATTGCAAGATTATATTTGTATAGCGACTTTCACGTCGGGAGGACTCCCAAGGCTCTGGACAGAGTACAGCATTTCAGACCTCAAGGCTTGATTATGGGAACTCCCTCCTCATCGGCCTTCCGAACTCTTCCCTTCACAAGCTGCAGATCATCCAAAACACTGCAGCATATGTACTCTCACACAACAGGCTCCATGACCCCATCACTCCTACCCTCGCCCGACTCCACTGGCTCCCCATCCCCCAGAGGATCGAGTTCAAGATCCTCGTCCTCACCTTGAAGGCCATCCATGGCCTTGCTCCCTCCTACCTCTCTGACCTGCTGACTCCCTACCAACCTGCCAGCTCCCTCTGTTCATCGGGCTCCGGCCTGCTCCATGTCTCCTGCCCGACCCGCCCTACCATCGGTGGACGGGCTTTCAGCCTCTCTGCCCCCACACTCTGGAACTCCATCCCACAATCCCTTTGCCTCGCTTCCTCCCTGGTCTCTTTCAAGGCCGGTCTCAGGACCTTCTCTTCAACCGTGCCTTTAGTCTTCTTCCCACCTCTCTGCCTTCCCTCACCCCTACACCACCCCTCCCCCATGCTCGGGCCCTGACACCTGACTGTTCAGCGCTTTGGGACATCCTCCCGATGTGAAAGGCGCTCTATAAGTGTAATTTTGTTGTTGTTGTAGTAGACATCTCAAAGCGCTTCAAAGAATATACTGTAAAGTGAATTGACTATTTTTGGGGCAAAACGCGGCAGCCAATTGCACACAAGTGTCCCACAAACAGTCATGGATTGAGTGACCAAATTGTTTTTTTTTATTTTCTTGAGGGATTATTATCAGGTGTGTGGAGTAAGGAAACTTGACCAAGGTTTCACTCTGCCGGGAATCAAACCCAGGTCTCTTCACTTGAGAGGCGAGTGCTCTAATCACTGAGCTACAGGACTCCTATTTTTGATATCTTTGTAGAGTCCTGTGCAAATCTGGAGTTCCTAACCTGTTAAAGTGCTTTCAGTTTAGGAGGAACAAAGAGGCAGATGGATCCATCATTCACTTTGCTTCTTGTTCATAAGGGCTGTACTTGGCACTGCCCTACCTCTCTGATGTCCAAGTTTACATGAAAAATCTGTGTAACTGGAGAATGTTTCTAGAAATTGAATGAAAAAAAATTGTTAGAGCACCTTATACTGAAATGTCTCAAAGCTAATAACTGTCATTTTGTACACCACAGGTATTCCCACAAATAGTCAGAAGTAAATGACTAATTCACATGGAGGATTGTTGGCTTGTAGAGATCTTTGTGTTTTGAACAATGCCATAGCATCTTTAATATGCACTTTGATATCAAGGACAGCTTTCATTCACAGGACAGCCCTCGGACAATGCAAGTTCTACCCTACTATTGCGCTGAAGTGATGGCTGGAGATTGTGAGCTCAAGTCCCGACAAGAGAGGGCCACAAATGTCTTCTCCAAAGGTAAAAGTGCTGCCAACTGAGCCAAGCTGCCACTTGTACAGTGGGAGTGTTTAAATGTCTTGTGGTGATGGGGTTATTCTGTGCTTAGCAGGCTGTGCTTTGGCAATAATGTTCATGCTGAGAGTCAGTATGCTCCAAATCCTTGGATGTAAGATGACAGTCACACAAGAGAAGTCATGTTTTATGACATTATTACTGCAGTCGGCTGTCAGATATATTCTATGTGTAGTGCAAAGCATATTAAAGTAGGTGAGAATTAGATACAATTCTTTGCAGTCAAAGACAATCTTAAAAATAAATAAAAAAATAAGAGTGGGTAATATTAATGACTAGAATTGCATCATATGCTTGGCAGGCAGACACACTGTGAAACAATCGTTAATAGTTTCTTAAAGGAAGAAGAAGTTTGTTCACAAATTATGATGACCTTCAGTATGCAAATTTTGTTAGAAGCTCTGCTCATTTAAAGCACATCAAAAAGCTGGCCTATGTTGTTTCCTGATATCAGCCCAAGCAACAGAGTGCCTTACAGTGAGCGAGGGAAGAAATATTAGCTTGGATTCTTGTTCCTGGTTGCTATCCAGAGATCCCTGCAGCAAAGTGCACGTGTGGATGTCAGGTGAGTTCAGGATTAAACTCAGTTGTAATGTCACTCAGGTCAAATAGCCTGCTGACATTCATTATCTAGGCGCACACATTAAGATGGCAAGGGACTGGAGAACCATAGTATACCAGCATGAATCAACATTCTTCAGAAAGGTGGCGGGAAAATATGGAGGGGGGAAACTAACAATAAATATGCAGGAATATGAAAATATTCACAGAACATAGTCTGAGAAAAAAAATCAATAGCACAAGAATGAAAGCTATCTCATTTTACTTTATCAGACAATGCTACACACACAATCAATGATGTTTCCATTTTAGAGTTTATTCCAAATCCAATTTTCTAAAATATGGACATTACAATGTTTGTTCTAATTGTTTGCCTCAACTGCTCAATGTACGGCGACTGTTTTTTTCTTGGAAGAACAATGAGATTTAAAAACCTATCTTAGAAATAACTGCAGTAATATCTGAAGAGAAATTTTCGGTGAAGTGTGCAAATGGTCGACGGAAATAAAACAATAATGTAGCTCTCATGATGGTACTAACAGAATGCTGCTAAAGATGGACCTGTTCCAGGGTTTGAGACACATGGATGACAGATGGGCTTGCTGAGCATGCATTTTATTAGAATGTGCTTTGAGGAAGACCAGACTGTTACAACCTTGCCAAACTGCTTATGAGATGGTAGTAGTGATATAGAAAATTTGTAGTTCAAGCAAGTCCTTTCAACTGCCTTACACTAAGTAAGTTCAGTCAGGAACCACACCTACATAAGCAATTTTAAACAGGCTATTCTTCATCAATATTTTCAATTTCATTGCAAAAAATTAACACACTACAAAGAATTTACCCAATTTTATTTTCAATGCTTAAACATATTTGTACTGCTATTTAAAAAGTATTATTGCAGCATTTCAGAAATTATTCTTAACAAACAACTGGCAATGAAAATAAGTAGAGTAGAATGCAATAAAGTTAACAATAGCAAGAAGAACATGTCCTTTGTAAATATTTTAGCACAGTAAGATAACCACTGAATCGAATTGCATAAGTTGGCTGTTCTGGCATTTATGTTCCACAAGGGGCTGCTCTTTACCATTAGAATGGAGGAGGCAAAGCAGCTGATTAACATTTGTGTCATTTAGATTTATTGAATTCAAGCAAAGGGATATAGATTTGAGAAAAAAAAGTGATGAGACTGGTCTATACATGCAGAAAAAAGGCTGGTACTATGGTAGAATGCCAAATAACAAAGAAATCAAAATGTCAGAGCAGAACAATACTTTGTTAATGCAGCATAAATTGAGTTCCGTAAAACTATAGTTCCCATGATATTTTACCATAAGAGTCAATCTGCTGCAAGCATCTGTTTTATTTTGGCATTTTAAGAAAGTCTTACAGATAAGATGCAACCAAAGACCCTGAAATTTCTAGGGAATGAAGGAAAAAAATAAAGGCACTGGTTGATTCACACGTTTCCTGATGTCCAGAACACAATGGAATGCATCATTCCAGATCAGGAAAGTGAGAGAGAAAAAGATTATGTTATTGGAGTTGGGAGCAAGGATATAGATTTCTTAAAACATTACTTTATTTTGAAACAAATTAAGTGTTTCGTCAATTTTTGAAATACTGGCTTCTCTTCCTTCACAATAAATGTAACTAGTCCCAACTGATCTGCTGCTAGCAGTAGAATGTTAAAAAAATGATAGCTCAACACTAAAGGATTTGCTCTTCGATGCTGGACTGCAACTCTACAGTTTAATCATCTCAGTCTGAGGGAGAGCAAGTGAATGAGTGTTTTATAGCACACAATCGTTTTTGTAAAATGGCTCTTTGTTCAGCAGAATGGTAACGAAAGACCCTGAGCAACAACCTTGATGTTTAGGTACGATTATTTTCTAACCTAAGTACAAGGACACACCATGAACAACAAGCTAATTAGAAATATTGTTCCGCTCAATCCTTGAATCAGTCACATTACAAAGACCTATAATTGTCTCAACTTAAACAATTAAGTTTTTTTCAGTTATTTTTCCCCTCCACTTCAGAAAGTACTCTTTTCTTTTTGACGTATGGTTGCTGAAAATCTATTTTTTTTCTGATTTTTATTACACATTATACAATTTCTTAAAACAATTTTTCAACAATTTTCACACTTGGAGGACACAAGAGACATATTGCCAATCATAAAAATAATTTATCCACATTTATCTCAAGGTCAAGATGGAGATTATCTTTTACGATCTATTGGGCTCCTCCACTGTAATTGTAAAGGATGCTGATCCTCGACTGAAAAAAGACAATCTTGGCTCTTGTACTGATTAAGGACACTCTTGTCTCAATTGGTTGGGGGAAAAGGGCATCTGATCTCCCAAGTTAATTTACATATGCTGTTACCCATTCTTATATCTTAAAAGGCAGAAGCAGAACAACTATTAGTATCATTTCAGAAATGAGATTAAGTACAGAAATGAGATTAAAATTATAAGCAAACATTTTAAGCATTGTAACCAGAGGTTCTAGCCTTTTTGGATTCTTGGGAATTTACTTCCATTGAAACGTTGGAAGGAGCACATCACATTCATCACATTTTGAGTTTCCAAAACTATATTTGTTCAAAACAGAAGGAAAATACTGGTTAGATATTATGATAGTTGTGAGATGGTACAACACAACATGGTATATAATCTTATCACTGAATGTCTGTTGAAAAGCTATTTCGCATCTGAAATTCCTGTTGCATTTTCAATACTGCATACTGCCCAGAATTTCCTCAACACAAGACCAATTGGCCCTTTCTTCCAAGACGCATGCAAACATAGCTCATCTGAAAGAAGTGCATCAGAAATCAATCATTTTAATTGGAACCAGCAACAAAAATCAGTTTATTTCATGCGTGTGTACAGTGAGATACTTTCATGGCATAATATAGATGTAATGAGAATGTACTGAAAGCATTCAGTCCAGTCACTACAATATTAATGACCCAACAATACATGCACTCCTTGTTCTCTGGTAATCACATTCTATATCCTCAAGGGGCCATAGATCTTTGCAGTGTTGGCATACATACCACAAGTGGAATGCTAAATGAATTTCATTTTCACCAATCATTTTTAATAACAGCAGACTTGATATTTAGAATTCTGAATCATTCAGGATTACCTTTTCGAGTAGCATTTTTCAGACACAGCACAGTATTGTTAGGATCGCTGGATTTCCATTTTGAAGTCTTTGTGTGAAGTTGGTCAGCATGTTTTTGTAGCTCTCGACAAGTAGATACATTGTACACTGTAGTTTCCACCACATCAGTGTTGTCTCACAAAAGAGCATTTCCAACCTTGGCCCTGACAATGTCTCAATCTTTTCAAGTGTGTAATCTCCCTTCTTGTCCCCACCCAGTGTAATCATTTGTGTACTTTGGATTCTATACATCAAGAGCATACAATTAAAGGCACATTTTTACTAAAACTAAATAATTCTTAATCTGTATTTCTCAGGATGGAAAATCTTTTGTAGAATGGATTTCTTATTTTTGAAAAGACTGTAAAAATAATGGTAATTCACCAATCAGAGAAGAAATAATAAATTTGAAATCCGTAGCAGAGGATGATATATATTTCAGATTTACATGGAAGTTTCTTCCATGACTAGACTCAAATTAAAACCAGATTCTTCGAAAGGCAGGAAACCTTTTGGGGTTAAGGTACAAAGCCTTCCAATTAATCAAAAATTTTCAGGGCAGGAGAAATCAATCACACAAAGGAACAAAAATGCTGAGATGAATACCAGTGTAACAAAGATATAAAGTATTTGGAACCTTGTTTTCTTCTCTTCCTCTCTAAGCACATGTCATAACATAATGCATTTATGCTAAACATAAATTAAAATAAACTACTTCACACCCTCAGCTTCATCACACTGTTGGACTTCAACCCCAACAGTGAGCTACAGCGGTTTCCTGTACTGATAGCTAAGTGCTTCAATGATCCCAAATGAGAATTATTTTTCAAGAAAGTAAACTTCAAGTTACAACCTGGAAACATATCGAAACAATGCGATGCCCCGCTTTCAAAATAAACTATTTATTAAATCTCATTCTGATACTACTGTTTAGAATAGACAATTTAGTAAATATTACATATTCATCAGATCCACTAAGCATAGCCTTTTGGTAATAAATTTGAAATTCTAGGTTCATATTTTTTCAATGAGATTATCAGTTCCTCTGCTGTGAAAACAAATTGCTAAACAGACTTACAGAGACACCTTATCCTTTCCGATTAGGTGTTAGAAGTGTTACAATGTTAGAAGTCTGGAGTTTATGTCAAGTATTAGAGCTAACTACTAAGCTTATTTAGAACTTGGAAAATCTGGCTTCAAAAGTCATACTTAGGATTTTTATCGAATTCAATGTTTTTAAATATAAATAACCAGCTTTTTGTTCTGTTGGGTTACTTGACTAAAGTGTAAAAGAAGTAGATCCCTGGACTGTAGTGAGAATACACTGATTGGTTATCAATGGTACATTGGTTATCAATGAATAACAAACTCACTGGAATGTGCATCACTCACAGGAGCTTGCAGATCCCTTTGGATAAATCGAGATACCATCTACCTATTTAGACGGACAAAGATCTCATGGCACTATTCAAAAAGAGAAGGGAGTTTCTCCCCATATCCCATATTGTGGGATATGGTAGCTTGTAAATTGGATTCTTTCGCCCTGTTCAAGCAATTTTGTCACTGCAAATTTAAAAGTAGCACTTCATGAAAAGCATCACTGTGAAATTCGTACAGTATTTATCACTGGCAAATACCACACATATTTCTGTAGTATTTGGTTATAAAGCACCATTTAATTACAAATGTTTGTAAAAGTAGTAAAAACAGTCTTCAAAAGAAGATAACAAACACGACTTTTTCAAAGTAAAACAGCTCCAGATATAAAAAGAAAAACAGGTCCACGTACAATGTCATTACTTACAACATGGTAGGGTCATTGTCAAACTAAACCTCTCTTGCACTTTCATAATTATGACTATTTGCATTCATGTTCCTTGCAATATCGCACACAAAAAAAGAAAAAACAGATGCCCGTTTTTAAAATAAATATGGCCCACTTAAGTAGTACAAAAAAGCCATTAATCTCAAAACAAAACAGCACTCGGATCCTTCCAGACTCTGATATGTAACCTCCATTTGTAATACAAAATGGAGATAAAATGCTCTCATGGATTGCTGGGCTGTTCAGACTTGATCCTGTTAAGACAAAATGAAAATACCTTTATACTGTAGAATTTTTACAAAAGTTTTTTGTGTAACTGTAAATATGGAGAATACTGGTATAGATGTTTTACTAGAGTTCAAAAATTATGCAGATTGTGACTACCATCTCCAGCCCATTTAAATTACAAGAAAATTTGTTTACATAACTGGGAAAGGGGTGTGGGGGTGGAGAAAGAGAAAAGTATTTCATCATCTTCTTTGAGAGCTTTGTCTGCTTTGAGTCAAATATATTGCTATTCACCACAATACACTGCACTAATCAAAGTATTCCAATATTAAGCAATATAATGAGTACACAGGATCTATGTTCCAGTGACTAATTTGATTGCTTATTTCCTCATGTTTAATTTACAGATTTTTTTAGAATATATTTTTAGGTCCTCTGAAACTGGCACTAGGTTGCTGCCCCATTTACATTGTAGGCCAGAATCCAAAGCACTAGTGGCATCAGGAACACTGCTGCCACCTGCTTACATATGCAGTGTTTTTGAACCCCCAACCAATTTGGCCCAGATTCTTAGGAAAGGTACACAGCGTAGCAACATACGACTGCATTACTGATCTGAAAGGTTGGATGACAGTTTAGTTCACCCAAAGCTAGAACATAGACAGCAGCGGAATATTACTTTAAGCAGCAAGTGTTTCTGAATACAGCATGCAACATTTTTATATAGCAATAATGTACTGCTAAAAGCAGGCATCCTTAGCTGTAATATAACAAAGAAATCAAACACTATATATCAGTTGATAAATAATCTGCATATTGCAAATACACAATAACCCCCAAAAATTAGGCATAATCTACATGTAGAAAACAGACATTAGTTGCTGTCCAGCAGCCTTGAGTATATTTTTCTATATTTTCCTGATGTCAGGGGAGCAAGTTGATTGTGATCTAAAGGAATTAACTTAGAAATATGATCTCAGGAGTTCTTAAGTCATCCAAAATTGGATTTCTAACTGCAATAATTTATATTTATATAGCACCTTTCACGTTAGCAGGACATTTCAAAGTACTTCACACAGCTGACTGGATATCCGAGCTGGGAAGGGAGAGCTGAGTGCGGGGAGAGGGGGTGGGGCTGGCGGGAGGCGCAGTCAAAAAGTTAGGTCTTAAGGCGTATTTAAAAGTGAGGAGGGAAAGGGGGAGGTGGACTGACTCTGAGAGGCAGTTTCCAGAGAGCAGTCGGGCAGAATAACAGTGGTTCTGGAGGGTAGTGGCAGAGAGAGTTGGGTGCCATCCGCATACATGTAGAAATGGACCCCATACCTACATGTGATATCATGAAGTGGGAGCATACAGAGTACTAAGGGTAGAGCACTGAGGAACACTGCATGCGATTGTGCATGGGTATGAGGAGAAACCATTAGAAGAGATGAAATTATGACACTGATATAGGTAGGAGTGAAACCAGAACAGAATGGTGGAGGAGAGCAGGGAGGAGAGACAGTGGAGAAGGACAGAATGTTCAATTGTGTCAAAGGCAACAGAGAGGTGTTGAAAGGGGGAGTGGAAGTACCGCACCAGTGGAGAGGGAGAGGTTAATGGTAGGCCTTGCAGGGGTACAAGGAGGGGAAACTGTGTGGCTGTGGGGATTGAGAAAATACAACATTTCCAACTGACCCTGGTACAAAATAACATCTAAGGAGTTTGGCTTGCCCCCTTTGATCAGGCGTTTACATATAATTTTTTGCATCTTTCAAATGTTATAAAATGGTATGGTTTTGATAATAATTTAGCTTACCCTTTGAGATCCGCCTTCTCTGCATTGCCATCTTTAGCTTTGTCTTCTTCTTTCACATCTGTAAACAGTCAGTGAAGTCACTGTCAATTTGAGGACTCAAGAACATGGGTAAGAAAAAGCCATAGCTTGCAAGATAGTGAAACAAGATACATACATTTCCACAATCCTGTTTACCTACCAGGTTTTAAAAAATCTTTAGAAAGAAAGTGTTTGTGTAGATGCTTACGTACAATCAAAGGTACTTCCTGTACTTCTCTGACCCTAATTTGAAAGTACAGACCTTTCAGATCAGTATAGACTATTCAGTCGCCACCGTACTACTTGAGTTAGAAGAATGGTAACCATCTTGAACTTTTCCTAAGCAACAAAAGCTTTCAAACACGGAGATCAAACAGTTAAAAAAAACTCTTATTTTGGGCAGGGAGAGGAAAAGCCATGACCAAATGTTTTCCACAGTCCAGCATGCAAGAATGTTATATATATATATATATATACACACACACACATATATAAGGAGGTGAATATAAGGAATATATATATATATATATGAGGTCTGTCTCCTTTCTTCAAAGGATGCATTCACATCTCACAAAGTCTGACATCATTTGCTTCTATTCATTTTCAGATTAGCCAAACCCTGAGATCCCTTCATGTCCGGGGAGAAAAGGAGGTTGGGAGGTAAAAGAGAAAAGCACTGCACCATGCTGCAGCCAGAATTCACTGTTCGGCAGAAAAGGCAATGGGAAAATAGGCTTCCCTTTCTGGAGCTTGTTTACCACCTGATGAGAATCATCCTAGCATGGATCTCAAGGTTCTTTTTTGCACCTAAATTAAGGAGCTTACGGTTCTAATGCTGTATATACCGAGGGAGTCCTTCAGAGATTCTTTAAATATCTGTTCTGCAATGGAATGTCAGCGTAGAGTATGAGATTAAGGACTGTGTTGAGGTTTGAACCCACAGTGGCAAGAGTGCTACCAAGTAATTGAAACTTATGCAACTATTTCCATTTGCACATGAGTCGGCAGCTGACTCTAGAAACAGATACCTTTCAGAACAGCATTGACAACAGGTCCTTAACTATGTGCTTTGAGCAAAATACTCCAGAGACCTTTGTTACTTTTAAAATTTAGTAACCTCGCTAATGTGAACCCTGTCTAATCTTGCCTCGTCTCTGCTTTGCATTATTTTTCTTGCCCTATAACTGTATAATAGAAAAGGTAAAACTTTTAGTGGTGCTCCAGTATTCTCACCTGCTTTATTCTCTTCTGGATCTTTCTTTTCTTCTTCAATTTTGGCTCGTTTTACACTCTTCTTATGATTTGCGATATTTCGTCTACCGCCTTCTCCTTCATCTTCAGAGTCTGAAAACTCCTCATCACAGGCTATTCGCTTATCAGAAGCTCGGACTGGAACAAATGATACAAAAATAGCTATTTGCATCGTTCTATTCTCGTATTAAAGGTTTAAAACTTCCTCAAAGAATGCAAATATGTAAGAAATATGATTTTACTACACAGCATGAAGTTTAAATAGCAAAGTAAAAATATTCACAAAATCTTAATTCATTCCCGACTTAATACCAATATAGCAGTTTCTGTGAAATGAAACCTAATTATTCTTTTTTATATCACAGATGCCCATAGGCCACAAATCAGAAATTTTGAAGACTGAGGAACTTCTCATTAACTTGATATCAGTTCACTTGATTCACACATTTGTCACTTAAAAATATTCAACTACCCACAAGTAACTTAAATTTGCATGCAAACCTCCTTAATCTTTTCACGTTTAGATTAGATGGAATTAGTCTATTAACTGCATCAGCATTAAAGCAATAAAATTTTATTTCTATTTTGAATTAAGCATCTCTCTGAAGAGTATATATATGATATATAAAAGAAATCCAGTTGGTCTCATATCGCCTGAGTGACAGTTAAAACAGTCAGGGGTGATTTTCTATGAAAGTCAGTCAGCAAATTTACAGGCCCATTGGGTCTGTATATTATTCTCTACTGGCCCATAAGAACTTTAGCAACATGAGTTTGCAGTGGTAATAACTCATACCCAAGGAATGTATATTTAATCATTTCCAAAGAAATCTCCCCCACACCCACCCCGCCATTTGACTGTCATGGGCAAACTATAAGATGGCAGAAAGACTTGCTGCCCAGATTCAGATTTTAAACATGGCCCACTCTGCTGGAAACATATTATGTTTACTTACATAGCTTTTAACTGGCAGATCTAAAATACAGTGGAAGCTCAATATTTTTGTGCTCGACAAGCTAACCTCAGCACCTAAAAGCCAAGTGAGATAGATAGGCAAGAGGACATTAAGAAAAAACAAGTGCTTTCAATATAAAGAATCTGCCTATACAGTGAAGCCTCAATTATCTGCCAATTCCAAACAAAGGAGAAAGGCAAAAGAAGATTGCCCTATATTACAGAAGGTAATCAAGACTCCACTATATTACAAATTCTATGGACCGAGAGCAGTTAAAATACAAGTGCAAATTTGTTGAAGAAAAAGAATGGAACAAGAAGAGACCATTAGGCTATGAAACCCATATGGATTTCAACCCACACTATTTCCTGGGCAAAACTTGTGTCAATATTCCACAATCTTCATAAAATACCATAATATTCATCCACCTGATCACTTTAAAATATGATCAACTTCTGGATTATCAGGTTGCTGTTGGCATCACTTCATTTTTCAGTTTTCTGTGAGCACACGTAGTGAATATGGAATCAGTGATCTCACCCAGTTATATAGAATGGAAAATTGTGCTTTGATGGACCGCAACTAAAGTATTACATTCTACTGTAATACTGTATGAAGACAATAGATTTAGCAAACAAAAATATAGAAGTTTGACACCAAACTATTTGAAGCATGAGGCACCAAATGCAAGTTTTTCAAATAAATAGTCTCTAAAGAAATAAGAGCTAATTACCACATTGTGTTTTTTAAAATTATTTCATAAACAAAATAACCCAGCCTGACAACCTGAGAGCAGCGACCAATGTTAGAGAGCCATGTCGTGGCCTCCCACCGTCTCGTCACAGATAGGGTGAGAGGCGGGGTAGGAGGCTTCGGTGCGGCCCTCCAATAGACCAGAGGCTTGTGCAATAGGATAGGGCAATTTGGCATGCGTGCCCAACCTCCGCCCAACACCCACACCTGTCACAGGATAGGGAAGGGGGCATCTGTGATGCAAGCCGTCATCTTCTAGGACTAGTTATCCAATCAATTTTACATTGCAAATATTTCCAAGAATTGCTAGAATGGAACTAATTATATGTTAAGCAGAATAACAGTAAAGCAGAGCCACTTATTAAGATTTTGCATGGGAAGTGGCCAGGATCTTAACAGCATGACAACTTAAGTGTTGTAACAAGTTAAGCCAGGGTCGAGGTATCAGGAGTTTACTGTACATTAGACTGCACAAACAATCAACAAGATTTCTGATTGGAACACAAAGCATATCACGTCACACTATGTCGTACTTGATATGCGTTTGTCAGGATCCTCTTCCTCCTCCTCTTCCCCACTATCTTCTTGAATAGAATCCTCTGGAATAGCCTGCATTTGAACTCCGGGAGCATGAGGCAGCATGCGCAGGTTTTCAAATAAGCGTAATCTATAAAGAAATGGAGTTAGTTACTGCCAACCTGAGTTTGCTTCAATTATGGTATACATACAAAAAAAAGTATATTCCAAATAATTTGTTATACCATTACATGGAGAAAAATGTCACCAACAGTTAGTAGAATAATACGGTACAGTTTTCAGAGCGAACAAGAATATCAATACGATTGAAAAAGCATTCAAATGGGAAGTACCCTTGCCTCGGAATCAGAAGGTTGTGTGTTCAAACTTCACATCGGGGCTTTGAGCTCACAGTCCGTGTTGACACTCCAATGAAGTGTTGGTGGAACTGTTGCAATCCTTCAGATAAAACATTAAACCTGTCTGCTTGTTCAGGTGGATGCTAAAGATCACATGGCACTTTTTTTAAGAGAAGGAAGTGCTCCCGGTGTCCCGGCCAACATTCCCGCAGATATAAAAAAAAATTGATGACTGGGGCACAGGGAAAACTCTTCTCGTTTCAAATAGTGGCATGGATTCTTTAACATCTACCTGAAAAGGCAGACGAAAACTCAGGTTAACATCTCATTCGAATGCCAGAATCTCTGACAATGCAGCGCTCCCCCAGAGCACTGCAGTGTCAGAATAGACTATGAGCTCAAAGTCTTGATGTGGAACTTTAACCCACTTTTTTCAATTCAGAGCTGAGCGCTACTGATTGAGCCAGGTGCAAAACAACAGCAATGTGTTCTGGCATCTGCTAAACACTTCTGCCAGGAGATAAATCATTATTGATTACATTTTCAGACAATTTGGTTAACAGCAGCAACTTGCACTTACATAGCGCCCTCCACGCAGGGTAACATCTTACAGCGTTTAACAGTGGCGGAGCCTGACTCCGAGCCGGGGGAGAGGGGAGGTGGCCGGTCAAAGAGGAAAATTTTCAGGCGGGACTTGAAAGAGGGGAGGGGGCAAGGCGGAGTGATTGAAGCAGAATTTTCCAGAGTTTGGGGGCGTAGTGGCTGAAAGCGCGACTTCCAATAATCATTTAGTCATCTGATAATCGATAATCGACCTCCGATAATCTTTTGGTCATCTTTTGCTCAAGTTGCAGTCCCGCAAAAAACTAAAATACTACTAATCTTCACAAGAGCTTTTCAGATAAAAAAATGTATTCATCACTGAACATGATTAATTTAGGTGGGATATGTAGTAGATTCCCTTTTTTTCCAAATTTAGTTGTAAACTTTCAGTATTTTAGAATACAAATATAATTAAATCATTTAAATACTGATGTAAACTGTAGGCAGGTAAATTGTATATACGTAGTGCTTCTTGATCAGCAAACCATCTCTCTTTTCTACCTTACAACAAATTTACTTACTTAATCTTTTCCATATATTCTAATGTGTTCTGATTGGTCATATTGGAAGGACTGATGTGCAGTTTGAAGTCTGGCCCAAAGTACTCAAAATAGTCATTGTATGGTAGTTCTAAAGTAAGAAAAATAAGCAGAAATAAGTTCAGGAACACAACTGTGAAAAACTATACTACATTGAAACTCTACTTGACTTCTTTAAAATCATATCAGTTATAATCATTTTTATGCTGCAGATTTGTACTCCGCTTTAAAAGTTCTAAGTGAAATGATAATCAATGTCAACTGTCAAGTGAAACTTTAGGAGACTTCTGCACATGTGCCACTAAACACATATGCATAGCACGGCAAACATTAAAGATGGGTCCTTTTCAATAGCCTTTAAGGGACCATTAGGAACGGAGACAAAATCATTTTGCATCACCTGCAATTATATTTTTCTGTGTGACATGCTCAATCAAAAATACGTCAAGATGTCTTTGCAGTCAAAGCTCCAGGGTGAATCTCACAACTCAAATTCACACTGTATAGAGAAAATAGCAAATGGTGCAACATAAACAAGCTATTAATCTACCAGACGCACATTTGCAACCTTTCCCAAGAATACACTTTTAAAAAAAACTGAACTACCATACATTTTCCTACTGTAGTGATGAAACTCAGTACAACAACAACAAGATTACACTAGTATAGCGCCTTTCATGTCGGTAGGACTCCCAAGGCACTGGACAGAGTACAGCATTTCAGACCCGAGCTGGGGTCAGGGTGGGGGGGGAAGAAGGGAGGGGAAGTGACCGATGGCATGGTCAAAGAGGAGGGTCTTGAGGCGGGACTTGAAGGAGGCTAAGGAGGGGGCAAGGCCGAGTGATTGGGGGATGAAATTCCAGAGGTTGGGGGCAGAGTGACTGAAGGCTCTCCCGCCAATGGTGGGGCGGGTGGGTCAGGGGACGTGGAGTGGGCCAGAGCCAGCTGAGCAGAGGGAACAGTGGGTTGGTAGGGGTAGAAACGTTTGTAAAAAAACATCACTAGCTATCTCCAGGAATGCAAATCACACTTGTGTTCCAATTTTATTTTTTGTTGTGAAAAATTAGTTTAGAAACCAAGAAGCATTTACAGTAAAAGGATAAACAAACAAAATGAAAAAAAGGTGCTAGTTATATGTAGATATATATTGCAAACCAGATGTTGGAATGTATCAAAAGATCAATAGCAAGCTGAAATAGTGAAGTAATCCGGCCACTGTATAAATCATTGGTGAGACCATGCTTAAGGGTACTGCGTACATTCTGGTCACCACAGTACAAAAAGAATATTGGAGAAATCGAGAGGATGCAGAGGAGGGCAACCAAAATGATGGGAATGGAGGGACTGGACTGTGAGGAGCGACTTGGTAAACTGCTGGAAGAGAAGATTGAGAGGTGACATAGCATTCTAAAAGGACAAGACAATATAGATCATGACAGGCTGTTTCAACTTGTCCAGAATAATAAAACCAGAGGACATGGCCTGCAATTGAAGGGAGGGAAGTCAGAACAAATCTATGCAAACATTATTTCAGTGAGCGAATAGTGAGCCTGTGGAACAGGCTCCCTAGGGAGACGGTCTTGATTCTTTCAAACACAGATGAGATAGTTTTCTTTTAGGAAATAAAATTATGGGATATAGTACATAGGTAGTTCAGGACATATGCACATGCGACGGCCAAGAAGGTGGAAGGTGAACTAGATGGACCTTGTTTCTTTTATCACCTAGCATTTCTTATGATCCCGGGATCCGTTACTGTAAAGCGCTCTGAGATGCCGTCCAGCATGGAGGGCGCTATATGAGTCCAAGTTGCTGTTGTTGTTATGTTCTATTATATATTTGTACTGCTTTTATAAATCTGTGCAAGAGTAAGTATGTTCTACAGAATAAAGCAATGGTCGGTCATCCATGCCTTTTATTTTATATATATATAATATGGGAGGGAAGTGGAAGATCTCAAATTATTATTCAATCCAGCAAGTACATCCTGTTCTTTGGAGAAGGAGTGGGAGGTAGCCACTCATTGTAGCTGCAGAATAAATGCACTCAGAGATCCCGATTTGTGGTAGTATCTAAAACAGTATGACGTATAAATATTGTATGTAGTTGCAGCAGCTGGAGTAAGCCAATAGGAACGGTTCTATCCAGTAGAAGACTTTAATCTTAGTTGGAAGCAATTAAAGTTATTTATTGCAATTACCATTTGGAATCTCTGTATCCAATGCTACTGCTGTCTCATATGTCCAGCATCGAGCTACATTGCGGATTGTGTAGCCTCCACCTCCGAGCATCAGCAGAGGTAAATTGAAGGTTTTTATGAATTCCACACATTTAGCATGACCTGTTGAATAAAGAAATAATAACGCATATTAGTCCAAACAATTTTCCAGAATAAACATTTTCACTAGGACAAATTATGATAGATTTGCTTATACCTTTGATAGTGAGATTGAAACATCCAAGTCTGTCTCCAGACAAAGAATCAGCTCCACACTGCAGCACAACTGCACTTGGTTGGTACATCTCCATCACCTTTGTCAAGATCTACATTAGAAATGAGCCACAGTTAAGATCATCTACCTACAAATTATATATGCCAATTGTATATGATTATTGAGATAAACAATAACAAATGGTTTGTGAAAAATTGTCATTTTATATTAAATTTATGATTATTTTGCATTGTCGTATGGCATAATAGTTTAATCTAATTATTATAAAAGGCAAAATCTTAAGATACTTACTGGCTTGAATATTTGCTCATAAGAATCATCGTCAATTCCATCTCTCAGTGGAAAGTTAACAGCATAATATTTGCCTTTTCCTGCACCAATATCCTAATGGGGTATAACATAGACAATAACACTGCAAAATGCAAGACAGGAAGGAATGTACAAAAAAAAGTACAAGTGGAGCCCTATCACAATGTGTGATTGAGGTCCATCCAATTCTCTTTCAAAATGATTTCAAATTTAAACTTGTGGCAATGCATCCCACATCCTAATATTAGTACGAAGAAAATTAATATAACCTCCCTTTGTGCATCTGGTAATACATCCATTTATATTGCAATTGTCCAGTTTACTCCCCCAGATTTTGCTGTTCCTACCCTTTCCCTACAGTAATCCAAACTATGTCACCTCCCTGTTCACTGTCAACTCAACATGCAACTTCTCCATCTGGTTCCTGTGCTCTGATTTTCCTACAAAGTCTAATATTAGCCAGAAATCAACCAATATGTTTTAAAACTCTTCCATCACCCTGAATATGATTCATCTCTCTTCACCCGTTTTCCTTCCCTTCAGTTCTTTAAGTAAAGTATTCACAAATATAGCCTTGTCTAAACTCCTCAGATCTTACACTAAACAATCATTGTTTTCACTTGTTTTACAGTTGGGTCCTGGCTAATGGGATTTTAAACTTAAAAGCAAAATCAAACACCAAAGTAATCTCTTCAACTCATCAAATCAATCCACTGTTCCCCATATTTGCTTATTTTCTGCTTAACCCAAAGCTGTGGTGGAACAGCACTTAACCAAAAAGTAAGTTATACTTGAATTGATTTTAATTTAGCTTAAATGTTTTCAACTCATAATCCTTTATCTTAACTCTACTGCTCAACCCACCAATTCATTTTTATCACACATCTCTTGTTGACACTTCAAAAAATAGTTCGCAGAACTCACTTTAAATTATGTCACTAATCAACATTTCCGACTGAAACCTCCACAAACTAATTACCTGGGGAGGGTTGTATGAGCTGAAAATGTTGAAAAGTGGAACCTGGAAAGCATTCTATCACCTTAAGCACAACTCAGTAAGCATAATAAACTATACAAATTAAAAATCTGCAGAGCCCAAAAGGCTTCTGTACTAAGAAATATGATTTTGGCATTGTTATATTAAATTGGTTTTAAAAGACGTGATATTTTGCTGGATATATCACCTTAGCAACAGGTGATAAAGCAAATACAACAACAACAAAATTACATTTATAGAGCGCCTTTCATGTCAGGAGGACGTCCCAAAGCGCTGTACAGTCAGGTGTCGGGGCCCGAGCGTGGGGGAGGGGCGGTGTAGGGGTGAGGGAAGGCAGAAAAGTGGGAGAGACCAAAGGCACGATCGAAGAAGGGTCTTGAGACCGGCCTTGAAGGAGGCAAGGGAGGAAGCGAGGCGAAGGCACCGTGGGATGGAGTTCCAGAGTGTGGGGGCAGAGAGGCTGAAAGCCCGGCCACCGATGGTAGGGCGGGAGACACGGAGCAGGCCGGAGCCCGCTGAATGGAGGGAGTGGGCAGGTTGGTAGGGAGTCTGCAGGTCAGAGAGGTAGGAGGGGGCAAGGGCGTTGGATGGCCTTAAATGTGAGGATGAGGATCTTGAACTTGATCCTCTGGGGGATGGGGAGCAGTGGAGTCGGGCGAGGGTGGGAGTGATGGGGTCACAGAGCCTGGTACGTGAGAGTACACGAGCTGCAGATTTTGGATGATCTGCAGCTTGTGAATGGAAGAATTGGGAAGGCCCACGAGGAGGGAGTTCCCGTAATCGAGCCTTGATGTGACAAATACATGGGTGAGGGTTTGGGCAGCCTGAGGGGTGAGGCAGTGGCGGAGTCTGGCAATGTTGCGGAGGTGGTGGTAGGCAGTGCCGGTCATGGCGCAGATGTGGGGGAGAAAGGACAGTTCAGGGTCAAACAGGATACCCAGGTTCCTGACTGGCTTAGTGACGTTGAGTGTGCAGCCGTGGAGGCTGATGCTGCAAGCACCCGAGGTGCGGAGGCGCTGACGCGAGCCAACCAGGAGGGCCTCAGTCTTGCTGATGTTGAGTTGGAGAAAGTTGGCCCTCGTCCAGGACTTGATGTTGACAGGCAGTCGGTCAGGATGCCAGTAGTCCTGGAGTTCAGGGTGGAGGCAGAGAGGTAGAGTTGGGTGTCATCCGCATACATGTGGAAATTTACCCCATGTCTGCGGATGACGTCACCAGGGCGGTGCATGTAGAGGGTGAAAAGGAGGGACCGAGGACAGAGCCCTGAGAAACACCGCACGAGGGCCGGAGGAGAACCCATTTGCCGCAATGAAGTGGAGGCAGTGTGAAAGGTAGGACCTGAACCAATCAAGGACAGAACCTTGAAGGTTGAGGTGGGAGGAGAGGCGGTGGAGGAGGATTGAGTAGTCCACGGTGTCAAAGGCGGTGGTGAGGTCGAGGAAGACGAGGAGGTAGAGGGAGCCCTGGTCACACATGGTCGGGATGTCGTTTGTGACCTTGACCAGAGCAGTTTCCGTGCTGTGGGCAGCACCAAAACCCGATTAGAGGGGTTCATGGAGGGAGTGAGAGAGGAAAGAGCGAAGCTGGGAGGCAACAGCTCTCTCAAGGACCTTGGATAAGAAGGGAAGATTTGAGATGGGCCAGTAACTGGATAGCTGTGATGGGTCGAGGGAAGGTTTCTTCAAGATGGGGATCATAGTGGCTGTTTTGAGGCTGGAAGGAACAGTGCCAGATAGAGGTTAATGATGTCGGCGAGTAGTGGGGCAAGGAGGTGAAGCTGGGATTGAAGGAGAGGGGTAGGGATGCGGTCGAGGGAGCAGGTGGTAGGCTTCATGGAGGTTACCGTGTTGAAGACAGAGGAGGGGATGACAGATTCAAGGAGGGATGGATAATTGTCGGGTGGGTAATTGTGTGGGGTGGGGCTATGGAGGGGGTGGAAGTTGGGAGGGCAGTGGCAGCTGAGCGGATTCCCTCGATTTTGGACTCGAGGAAGTCCAGCATTTTCTCGCAGTGAGAGTCAGAGGAAAGTATCTGCGAGGAGCCGGTTGGTGGTGGAGAATAGGAGCCTGGGATTGCCTTTCGCCTCCAGGATTAACCTGAAATAGAAGGATGATTTGGCTGAGGCGAGAGCGAAGCGGTAGTTCTTGATGAGGTACAGCCAGATGTGGCGGTGGACAGTTAGGTCGGATTTGGCCCTTAAGCAAGCGGAGGTGGCTGGTGAGGATCAGGAATAGGAGGCAGTACGGGAGGTGAGGGGGGCAAGGATGTCGAGTGTGGTGGAGAGGGTGCTGTGGAGAAGAGTGAATGCAGCGAGTGGATTGTTGCAAGAGGTGGGCCAGAGGGGGAGGAGTTCAGAGGACTCCAGGGCAGCGGAGAGGGATTGCTGGGAGATCTTCTTCCATGGGCGGTAGAAGACGGTGGCAGGTTTGGAGGCAGTGAGAAGAGGGATATAGAAGTTGAGGGAGATGAAATGGTGGTCAGAGATGGCCTTAGTCAGTGATGGTGACATCCGAGACGCTGAGGCCCCGGGTGATCACCAGGTCGAGCGGGTGACCATGGGTGTGGGTAGCAGAGTGGATGTGGAGGGAGAGGTTGAGAGAGGAGAAGTCTGAGAAGTTGAAGCAGGAGGGGGTGAAATGGAGGTTGAAGTGGCCTAGGATGATGAGGCGGTCACAGCAGATGGCAGAGGGAAGCAAAGAGGGTGGAGATGTCAGAGATGAAGGTGGGAGAGGATTTTGGGGGGCGGTAAAGTAAGAGAATTTTCAGAGAGAGGTGGGAGGGATGGCAGAGGGTAAGGTGTTCAAAAGAAGGGAACGAGCCAGTGGAGTAGGGGGATAGGGCAGTGACGCCCTGAATATGAGGGCCACCCCACCGCCACGACAGTTGGGGTGTGGGGCATAGTGGTAGGTGTAGCTGGGTGGTGTGGCCTCAGTGAGGGGGAAGATGTCACCTGGGGTGATCCAGGTTTCTGTGAGTGCCATATTGTCCTAAAAATAAAACAACCATAACAAATAAAATAACCATGTGTATTCCAATCCAATCTGGATCCTGGACTTAATGCCTCCTGATTGAGGAAATATAAGTCTTTCCCAATGAGTCCTTTGTGAAATTAATTTAAAGTCTCAACCCAGTTTGCAGTGGGCAAGAATCCAACAACAAAATTACATTTGTATAGCGCCTTTCACTTCGGGAGGATGTCCCAAGGCACTGGACAGTCATAGTTTCGGACCCGAGCTGGGGGTCGGGATCGGGGAGGATGGAGGGCAGGGTGATCGAAAGCATGGTCGAAGAGGAGGGTCTTGAAGAAGGAAAGGGAGGGGGCGAGGTGTAAGGAATGCTGGATGGAGTTTCAGAGGGTGGGGGCAGAGTGGCAGAAGGCATGCCCGCCAATGGTGGGGCGAGTGAGGCAGGGACGTGAAGCAGGCCGGAGCCCGCTGAGGGAAGGGAGCGAGAAGGATGGTAGGGGGTTAGGAGGTCGCAGAGGTAGGAGGGAGCAAGACCATGGACAGCTTTGAAGGTGAGGACCAGGATCTTGAACCGTATCCTCTGTGTGATAGGAAGCCAGTGGAGTCAGGCGAGGATGGGGGTGATAGGGTCACGGAGCCTAGTGCAGGAGAGGTCAAAATAAAATAAAACAAGAAATATGATTCTGTTTAAAAAAATTCAATAAAATAAAACTGTCACTCAACCAAAAATTCACACTGCTTACATGGAAAAATTATCCTATGTTTAGACATAAGGTTGGTTCAAATCAGCAAGCAGGCTTGATTCTGAAACTAAGTGATAATTATAGACAATTTTAAATTCCCAACACTGAGTAGCACAAACACTCATCAATTAAATATTTGAAAAACGGCAACCGACAATTACAAGAGATTGTGACACAGTAGATTAGAAAATGCATTCTCTTGAGTTTAAATCCTGCCCCCTTTACCTTTACCAAAACAAGTATCGTCAAAGATATAAGATCTTTTTTTAAAAAAAATAACAATGAGCTGCCGTGCTGTTTTATAAAGCTACCACCTGCTAGACTATCAAGACTGTCTGCAGAATGCAACCCAGAAGTCAAACTCCAAAATATCAGACTAATATTTCACAGCTCAAGTGACAATGCTATATACCAGGAAGGAGATGTGACTATTTCATAAAATTGCAATCAGAAAAGGCTGGCTCATTAATTTTGTAAGTGGCCATCCATTAACTCGATGCTCAACCTTGAACGTTTCAACACAGGATCAGAGTGTACCATAGACACAATTTCCATACAGCTTGTCCTGTATTTTGTAACACTGAACCACATTTGTGACAATCATTATCAAAGCAAAAACTACAGCTTCTCTGAATCAATGCAGAAGACAACCATTTACCCATTTACTATCAGAAGGCCTCAAACTGTGCAATTGCAATGAGTGAAAATATTCCCACCTCTGAATACAAGTGAAATTGTAAAAATATATATACTCTTAGATCTGAATGTGAAATCTAATTATGCACACATGGAAGAGTTATTCATGAATTCCTGAAGTGGCAATTCAGCATTAGTACTGGTGTTTGTATTTTCTTAAGCTTTTAAATTTATAATAATAAATCCTTGCATCTAATATAGCATCTTATCAAATTAATAATAATTCTTGCATTTGATATAGCGCTTTTCATGTCTTCTAGACGTCCCAAAGCGCTTCACAGAATATACTGTAAAGTGAATTGACTGTATATTTGTGGGCGAACGCGGCAGCCAATTGCGCACAGCAATGTCCCACAAACAGTCGTAGATTGAAAATGACCAATTTATTACTGTTTTGATTGTTGACAAGTGGAGGGAGTGGGCAGGATGGTAGGAGGTTAGAAAGTTGCAGAAGTAGGGGGGAGCAAGACCATGGAGGGCTTTGAAGGCGAGAACCAGGATCTTGAACTGTATCCTCTGGTCTTCACCTTCAAAGCTCTCCATGGCCTTAGTGTCCCCACTACTTCTGCAACCTTCTAACCCCCTACCAACCAGCCCACTCCCGCTGCTTAGCAGGCTCCGGCCTGCTTCACGTTCCCCGCCTCGCCCTCCCCCCATTGGCGGGTGGGCCTTCTGTCCATTCTGCCCCCACCCTCTGGAACGCCATCACGCAATCCTCCGCCTCGCTCCCTCCCTTGCCTCCTTCAAGACCCTCTTTGACCGTGCCTTCGGTTACCTTCCCTACCCCCCTGCTCCTCACCATCCCTGATCCCAACCCCCAGCTCAGATCCGAAAAACTGATTGTCCAACGCTATGGGACCTCCTTCCGATGTGAAAGGCGCTATACAAATGTAATTTTGTTGTTGTTGTTGAATGTCTCAACAGGATCCACTTTGGAGTGGAATGATTGTGCATTTTGCAGGTGACCACAGCCATGAAGTGAATGACCAACTGTATCCGGAGGATCGATCACCTAGACAGTGGGGAAACTACCTCCTCTTTTCAAAAAAGTACCACGTGATCTTTAACACCCATCTGAACATGCAGACAGTGCTTCACTTTAGCATCTCACCCAACGGATGGCACCTCCAACAATAGTGTTTGTTTGCCCTGCATTTGAGTGTCAGCCTAGATTACAAGCTCAAAAGCCTCAAAGTAGGTATTGAACCCACAAACTCTGACTCAGAGACAAGAGTGCTACCAACTAACTCAAGCTGACACCTGTGCTGAAATGAACACTCACCCGAAGATCACCTGTGCCAGGGAAGTATTCACCATATTTATGGAACGAAACAGTCATCACACGATCTGTGGTATAAAATGCCTCTTCCACGCCATCTCCATGGTGGATATCAATATCAATATACAAAACTCTCTGGTGGTACCTGTGGGAATAGAACATTCTTCAGAATATTGGTTACAATGAACATAAATGTTCAGACTTAGTCCAGTGACCCCTTTAATTCACAACCTATTGAAACCCTGGATTCCTTTCTATCTGATTGAATCAATGCTGGGAACCAAATTGCGAATTATTTGTCATTTTTGTAAATAACATTTCTAAAATAAAATCCAATTAATTAAATAGCCATAGTGGGGGTGATGGGAAGTACAGTTGAAAGAATAAGAAGAAATAAGTTCTGTTAGGCCAAAAGCTACTGAGTGACAACAGACTTTAGTTGCCCTTTAGTTGTTTGGGTCATTGCAACAAGTGTATGAGATACACTGGAAGATCGAGCCAAGCAGAAAGCAAAAGGCTGGGTTTAATTCACCTGAGAAATGTTTGGGATAGATTGTGCCTTTGTAAGTGATTGTAGATCGTCGTAAGGCTCATTTACATTATTTTATTTCGAGCGAACATCTGATCTAATGATTTCTACTGCTGCCAAAAGAAACAAGGAAATTATTGGGTTTTCATACTTGAATCCTGGGATTGCATCTGTGTGTACAATCCATCCAAATTGTATCAAGAGTATTTAAGAGGCAATGTAGAATGAGGCCCACTGAGCATACTGTACTTTAACAAAGGTGTAGCCAAGATTGTCCACCATTACAAATCATGTTTGATGTCAAAAACAATGTCAAATGGCATCAAAAGAGTTGGTCTAGAAAGCATCGGTTCCACGTACTACTGGTAAGAATACACAGCTTATTTTTACTGATGTCAAGTTGTTGATACATGTTGGTACAACTGGGAATCTCAGGGGCTTCTTGAACAATGGGCTTATCAGTGGATTGTGGTAAAGTGATAAAATGCAGCACTACAGCTCTGCCTCACTCAAGACTTCCCCAAGAATGCAGTACTCCAACATTGGACTGGAACATCAGTCTGAACTGTGAACTTAAAAACTGAGTTTTAACTCACAATCCTCTATTCAAGGTCAAGACAAAACGTGCCAGCAAATTCAAGAGGGAATTAGATAAGATGTTTGACAATAATCAATTCAGGGTCACGAGAGAAAAATGTTCAGAATTTAAAACAAAACTTCGGAACCGGCCAGCCAGACCAACTGGAACTATCTTTTCCAGTCCTGTGCATTCCTATGTAATTCTATGTAAAATCAGATCAACAACAACAACAAAATTATATTTGTATAGCGCCTTTCACATCGGAAGGATGTCCCAAAGCCCTGGACAATCAGTGTTTCGGACCCCAGCTGGGGCTCAGGATCGGGGAGGTTGGAGAGCAGGGGGAGGAGGGTGATCGAAGGCGTGGTCGAAGAGGAGGGTCTTGAAGGAGGAAAGGGAGGGGGTGAGTCAGAGGGTCCTCAGGGTAGAGTTCCAGAGGGTGGGGTCAGAGTGACTGAAGGCCCGCCCACCAATGGTGGGGTAGGCGAAGAGGGGTCCGTGAAGCAGGCTGGAGCCCACTGAGCAGAGGAAGCGGCGGGTTGGTTGGGGTTAGGAGGTCACAGGGGTCGGGGGGAACAAGACTATGGAGGGCTTTGAAGGTGAGGACCAGGATCTTGAACTGTATCCTCTGTGTGATGGGATCACTTAATTAATTAAACAATGGACATCACCTCTTAACATTTAGGAATATGAGGCAAAGGCAAACAAAGGCAATATTATTCTTTGAAAAACAAACATTTCCACTGATAGAATAGAATCTTTAATATCAAATACATCATGTCTATCCTTTAACTCTTAAGAGCAAACTTCCCAAAGTCAGCTTCTGCCTTTAAAATTGGAGACAAAGATTGCACTTACTTCAGCAATTCAAGGATGGCAAGAACAATATCGTTGACATAACAAAAGCCTGATGCCTCAGACTTCTTTGCATGGTGCAGACCTCCAGCCCAATTAACAGCAATATCAGTTTGTTGTCTATTCAGTTTTACTGCTCCAGCTATGAAGTAAAGAAATGCAACAAGACTTTTGACTCAGCAATAAATTTATTTGTAATAAATGTCTAAGAATTTGCCACTATAAATTAGGCAGTTGCCCAGATTCTGTACAAACTTCGGTACTCACCCACTGAACCACCTGCTGACAATTGACAAAATTCAAACAATCCATCAAACACAGGGCAATCTTCTCCAACATTGACTGCAGAAACAAACGTTCATTAAAATTACATCTCATAATCCCAAAACTACTAAAAATTAAAGACCTATTATACAAATCTTCTATATCTATTATATATATATATGCGTGCCCATCCGACACACACACAAAAATATATTTTTTTGCTTATAAAGGTGAAGAATACAAATCATGGAAAATAGAATTTTCCATTCTAAGCAACAAAAATGTTAAATTATTTCAGTTAAATATACCAAGTATGCTACAATCCTTTATCTCAATAATAATGTAGCCATATTTCCAACCACATTTTACCCCCAACAATATGGACACCAGAGAACAAACTACTCCACTTGAGTGTTCATTCCCCACATCATCCAACCTTGTGCACTGGGAAAACTGCTGGTTATGTTTTTTCACACTTACCTACAAGGAATGGGTAGAACTACACAATTATTTCAATAAATTATTTATTGTGATCAGAAACAGGGACTTTTAATTCTTTCTGGGATGGACTTAGTGCAGATCCAGAAAGTTCTAAATACTATCAAATCCTGATGCCAATAACTTAAGTGTCAATTATCTTTCTGAGGAAATTATTTCTTACATCAATCAAAATAATGTATTTTCATATTACTGTTATACACAATACAATTTAACTGCATTCTTACATCTTTGCATCTGTTTGCTGTATTCAGACATATTATCTGGTCTTATTGATCGCAGAAATTTGATGTAATCATCGCTGTGATATTTTGTCATCTCCTCAGCTGTGGCCTTGTGGGGTCGCTAAGGAGAAGAAAAATACACAAATTACATTTCTGACAACTCCCTCAAAATAGTAAAACATTTTCTTTAAAAGTCATTAACTTACATAAATTTCCATTTTTCTGTACAGGCCATAATTCAGCAAGAGATTATGAGTCATACGAATTCGATGTGGTTTCATTGGGTGTCCTTGCCCATAATAATAGTTTCCAATGTCACCTATTAAAAAATGAAATTTCTCATTAACTATAAAAGAAAATGGCAACTGTACAAATAAGTCCATTTATGGACTTCAGATACAGATGTCTGGGGCTTATATTTCAAACTGAGTCACAATCACTAAGCAATGCAAAAGTCGATACTGAAGAAAAGCAAAAAGGATTTTTTTAGCAATCAACAAACACCATCTTGTGCCAACACCCAACATAAACTACTATCAATTAAACATATTGTGAAAGGTGAACAAGGAAAGACACAATGGAAAAACTGGCCTTTGGTACGCGACATTGGAAGTTTCTAATCCATTTTTTGAAGAATGACACTTGACTCTAAGCCAGGAAAAGTTGCAATAAATGATCAACCAGCCATTGGGCAACTCATTCCAACTAACACAAAAGCTAGTGATTTGAGTGCGGATACATGTAAATCAAATCTAGGAGAGAACAGTAATCCCACATTTTAACTATAAATAACAAGAAATGCAGATCAATTTTAAATTTGTTTTAATAATCCTCCTCCTTGCATTTGATATAGTGTTTTAGTGTCAAATTGTCTCAAAATAATTCAGAGCTTTCTATAAAACAGTTACAGTGAATTTGTAGGAATACGCAAGAGCCAATTTGCAGGCAATGTCACACAAATGGCCATAAAGTAAATGGACAATGTTTTAATCTGGGAGATTTTGACGAAGTCAATACTTTTTTTTTGGAATAGTGGAGTCTCCGATATAATGTTTTGCTAAAGTGTAAATTTACATGGTTGCACTGTTTACCAATTTCACTGCTCCCTGCCTGACTTTCATGCTAAAATGGTAAATTTCTTGGTCATTAGATTGACTTCCTTCATTAGCATCACTTCCTGCTTTTCTGCATAACGCAGAAAGTAATATTAATGGCGACCAATAACCTAGAAGTCAGCCATTTTAACTTCCGACACTAAAATAATTCCTGACTTCCAGCTCGCGGCCATCATCATTTCTTGCAATGTTCATCAAACAGGAAGCGACATTAGCAGTAAACCGGTAACCTGGAATTCAGCTATTTCTTTTCAAGCAGATAGCAGCTGGATTGCAAAAAGCAAGTTGGTCAGCTGCATGTAAGTGCAGTGAAATGCTCTATCCTTGCTATAGCACAGGGTGGGATTTGATGAATCCCAAACACCACCTAATGTGACACCACTGCAGCACTATGGGATATTTTAACACTCACCTGAAAAGGCAATTGGGGAGCTTGGTTTAACATCTGATCCGAAGAACTATATCTCAAGAATACAGTACTCTCCCAGCAATGCATTGATGTCAGCTTAGAATATGAGTTCAAATTCCCGACATGGGGCTTGAAAGTACAACCAGATGAGAATTCTACCAATCATGCCAGGTCAAAATAATTTTCACCAACAAAGCAATGAATTACGTGTTAACATGAATACTTGAATGAAAAAAATATTCTGAAAGAAATAGATTAACAATATTTTATCAACTACTTCAAGTGTGTAACGAGAAAAGATCCTTCAACCTATTTAACACACCCCATCAATCATAGAATTTGCACTTAGGAAAAAATGAATAACCATCAAGTCTGTTCCATCATTTAAAATATAATACAAATTTATATTTGTGTAGAGCCTTTCATAATCGGGAGGTGCTGTCAAAGAAAAAGGTCTTGAGCCGGACCTTGAAATAGGTGGGGGAAGGGGGCGAGTCAGAGGGACTTCAGTTTGGAGTTCCAGACAGTGGAGGCAGATAGGCTGAAAGTTCGACCACCAACGGTTGGGTAGTAGGGCAGGGGACGTGAAGAAGGCCCAAACCCACTGAGTGAAGGAAGAGAGCAGTCAGTTCTGTTTGAGGAGGTTGCAGAGGTAGGGTGAGGCAAGACTGAAGAGATTTAAAGGCGAGGTCGAGGATCTTGAACTCAATCTGCAGGGCATCAGGAACCAATGAAGCCAAAAGAGGATTGGGGTGGGAGACTCTCTGGACCGATAGTGTGGGAAAAGACATGGGCTGTAGAGTTTTGTAGAGTCTGCAGCTTGTGTAGGAATGAGTTGGGTGGTCCAGCAAGCAGTGTTGTCATTGTCAAGCGTGATAAATGAATGGATTAGGGTCTTGGCAGCCTGAGGGGAGAGGTAGTGGCGAGGCGGGCAATATTTCAGAGGTAGGGGAAAGCTGTGCAGGTCAGAGTATGGATGTGGAGTTTAACGGACAGTTGTAAGTTGAACAAGACACCAATATTCTCCAATGACCCCATGAGGTGCAGTGTGTATCCTTGTGGGTTGATGCTGTTTGCACATGACTGGTTCATACACATCTTCTAAGCCCATTTCCAACCTTCTCTCCATATCCCTTAATACACTTGCCAATTATCTAAGCATTTGCCTTTTAAGCATCACAACTGATTCTGCATCTACAGCTCTTAAAATTCTCTTAACCTTAATTACAATGTCAGTGCATTCTACATTTTCACAACTCACTGTATAAAGAAACGTCTTCTGATTTGAACCATAGGAATATACGCTGCAGATGTCATTTAGCCATCGTGCCGTGCTGCTTCCTATGGAAATAATTATTTCAGTCCCATTTCCTTGCCCATTCCCTGTAATTGACACTTTTACCTAGTCTCTTCTGAAAGCCAATATGGATTCGACCTGAACCACCACTCCAGGCAGGGTAATCCATATCCTAACTGCTGTGTGAAAACAATTCTCATAACCTTAATTACAATTTTAGGACAATGTTTTAAGATCCTTCTCCAATATAGTATTGCCCCTAGTAACTTTACCAATTCCCTTCATTATCTCAATTATATTTCCCTTTAACACTCTGAGCTAAGAGACCAAACTCTCAAGCGAGCTAACTGATAACTATTTTAATGAAATCTCCAACTTATTTAATCTTCTCAGAGGAAACTAACCACAGATAAAACTACTGTGCTAAATTAGCTAATTTGAGGTAGAGCAGCAATTGAGCTGCTAAAAATTGGCATCAAGAGCTCTCTCAGCTAAGGGCAGAGGGTGAGTAGCCAAAAAAAAACAGCGAAGGCAACCTCTTAATTACTGTCCAGTGATAGCCAGGCGCCTGACACACGCAGAAATCCATCTCCATGCTTAAGAGTATTCAAACCAAACAGCTCCATGCATCCCACATACACATGGCAATTCTGGACATATTTACTGAAATGGAATGTGTACTCCCTGGAAAGACGCATCTTGCTTACCTAATTCCAGACAGCAGTAGGTGCAAGCTGGCAAGAGCCAAGGCTTGGGGATTCCAGACTCTGTGTTGAGGTACTGGTGGAATCCAACCAGCTAAAACTGCATAGCTTGCCACTGAAAACATTATCTGGCAAGATTTCCTGCTGCTTGCCCAATGGGTAGGACCATCCAATTTGCACACAGCAATGTCCCACAAATGGCTACGGAGTCACTAATTTTATTTGGCAGATTGTTGGCCAGGACACCAAGAGAAACTATAATAAAGAATCCTTGCATTGGTATAGCGTTTTCACGTCAGCAGGACATCCCAGAGTACTTCACAGGATTTACTTTGAAGTAATTGTGTATTTGTGCGTGAACGCAAACCGAATTTGCGCAAAGCAATGTCTCACAAACAGCCATGCAGTGAATTATTTTTTTTATTTTGGTAGATTGTTAATATAGCGCCTTATCTCATCATTGAGACGTCTCAAAGCACTTCACAGAATATACTGCAAAGTGAATTGACTATATTTTGTGGGGGAAAAGTGGCAGTCAAATGCACACAAGTGTTCCAGAAATAGTCAGGGATTGAGTGACCAAGTTATTATTTTTTCTGGAGGGATTATTATCCCTGGATAATTGACTAACAACCAGGTTCCTATTTACTGCTTGGTGAACAGTGGTGTGTGGAGTAAGAAAACTTGCCCAACATTTCGCCCTACCCGGGAATCAAACCCAGGTCCTCTCGCTCACGAGGGGAGTGCTCTCACCACTCAGCTACAGGACTCCATTGTTGGCCAAGACACAAAGAGAAACTCACTTCTCTCTTTTCAAATACTGCCATAGGATCTTTAACATCCATCTGAACAGGGAGATGGGACCTCAGTTTAATATCTCATCTGAAGGAAGGCACCACCAACAATGCAGCACACTCCCAGAACCACAATGGAGTGTCAGCTTAGCCTATGTGATTTCAATTTCCGACATGGAACTTGAACCCACAACCTTCTGACTCAGGTGGGAGTGTTATCACTGAGCCAGGCTGACATACATCTCTTTTCGGGTAGTAACATGGGATCTCCAAAGGCTACCTTAAACATCTCATCCAAACAGCTGCACCTCTGAAAATGCAGCACACCCCCAGCACAGCATTGGAGTGTCAACATCGACTGCATGGGTTCCAATGTGGTACTTGAACCCACAATTTTCTGATTCAAAGGTGAGAGTGCTACCAACTGAGCCAGGCTGACACACAATGTGGGCATAAGGGTAAAAGCAATATAAATCTATTGTGATCTAATATACAAGCTCAATTGGCTGAAAGATCACCTCCTATTCCTGTGTTGGGCAATGGCTATATAAATATCAGACTACAATCTTGACTATGTAGCTCATATTATTCTGAAATCTACAGAAACTTATTCCTGAGCAAAGTGCTGAAAATCTCACTAGTTTTAGATGAGGTCCTTTGTCCTATTTGATCTCATCCTTCCACAATGTCAATGCCAACATCTTTCCATTAAGCAGTTTCTTAAGCAAGTTCAATATCCTCTCCTGTTAACCTATTCCAGTTGCGGATTACCTTTCATGTAAATATTGACCCATTGTCCTACTGTCTTGCTTAGCTGAATACATTGATCTGAGTTTACTTTTTTTTTAAAACTCTATTTAGTATCTTTAATACATTCATTTGTTTACTTCCAAAACATCCATTCTCAAGGATGAAATATGTAGGTTATCAAGTTAACGATAACACTGGGTTATTAGCCTTGTTATTCTCCTCTGCAATATTCATTCAGAAGATGAAGACA